ACGATTTGTTGTTGTCGTTGTTACTCTGTTAATAATTGGGGCTATACAAATGAAAAAAATTTCATTGTTCGTAAAAAATACAAGTTCTAGACGTCCCAATAATGGGTTGTCTCATTGCATTACCAAAACACTGCCAATGTTAGGCCAGACATGTAATTCGCCTTGATTAGTTGCAAAAAGGATGTAACTTCCTTTAAGGTCATTAATGTCCATGAGTCCACAACTTTAAGAATTGAACAGAAACAAACCCAAGACTTATAGGTATAATTCGCATATTTCTAAAGAAATACTAAAAGCATGTCTGGAACCGAGAGATGAGCCTGCCATCAGTACACTGAATCTCCTCTGTGAGCTCAGTCACTGTTTATAACTGCTTGCTTCAACAGTGGAAAATATTCCTCCCTGTTTGCCAGCCAACCAGGCAGACAGAGATAGACAGACAAGCACACTGGGAGACAGATAGCTCAGCCAGAGCGATTGTCCTTCCTAGGGAAGATAAACTGAGAAAAGTCTGGCTTGAGCTGCACAGAGACATGAACACACAGGTGCATACACACACACACACACACACACACACACACACACACAGTCGCTGACCACAATCATACACATCAGTGCTAAATGCTTATGTCAAGTCTGGGTCAAATGAAGAAAGGCATTTTAAAAGCCAAGTGTGTGTCCTTTGAGACGTACAGTAAACTAATTTCATAGAGACCATCCACAACATTCAAGTCTTAAAGATCAGCTGCTCTTCTTAATCGCTCCTTCCCCTCCCAATTTGGAAGCAAAGTGACAAACTATCAAGTCAGCCCCATGGGCATACGTTTCCGTTTTATACCAACAATTATTATCTAATGGGAAAATTAAGAGTAAATAAATATACTCTGTGCTGAAAGCTACTTCTTCCATGTGTATTTTTACCCTCGGGTTAACCTTATGTACAGCTGGCGGGCAGCTGCTAGTTATCTGGAGTTGTGTGTTTCTGTTTCCATAGAAAGTTGAAAGAATCTGCTTTATCTCAAAGTACCTAACTCTAGCATTGCAACAGACGTCTTTGCTCTTGTTTTAATCATATATGAAATTCAAAATTCCTTTTTGTGATGACTTTGATTTGGATCATGATTGTTTATGGTTTACTGTTTATTGCAAGAAATAAATCGTACTTGCTTTGTACATAAAGTAAATTGAATCGTTCTTAACCCTGTATGAGTGAATCTTGTTTTTTCTGTATAAATTTTGATTTCTTATTGCTTGTTGCCCCCCATTGCTCCCCCCCTCCCCCCTGTCTCAATTCTCCTTCAGTGCTACTTACTGTATAGCTGTGCCTTTGAACGATTTACCTTTCACCTCTGCCCCTTATTAAGTTCTTTGTCTGAAAGCTCATTGTAAGGTCGCAGCACGCTAATCTACAGTAAGTGTTCATCAGTGTTTCCTAATTGGGCGTGGATTAGTCTGGCATTTCTTATGATGAGGAAAGAACCCCTTCTAAAGAAAAAATATTACGCAAAGAACTTAATGCAAATTTATTGGGACAAAGCCTGGTTTTAAAATCAAGACTCTGTGCTCTGTAACACAAGACGGAAAACTTATCTGAGAAAATCTTCACACTTATTAATATCATTACAAGTCCACTCCACCTCCAGGTACTGTGTGTAACAAGTTAAACCTTGGATAAATGGGAAGGATTGGTTAGAAAAAAGGATGAATCTGCACTCACTGGCTAGATTAGCTGGTCATAATAAAAGTAACCACATCTGTCCACTTAAAGCCAGAACAGTCTCCTGCAGGGTGAAGTTTTTATCACAGTCCAGTTATGCTTGCAAACCTGTTGTTGTGCTTCTTCAGCTTCAGTTGGGAGCAAATGAAACTGGATTCACTGCACATGCTCATGAATCCCTGCAGGTAATACAATCTGTCCCTCTCTCTTACACACACATTAACCCACTTAAAAAGACTATAATTAAGATTATAATGTGTCATACTATGAAAATACACTATGACATCTTCTGACTGAGCTACTTAATCAGTCATCTGAATATTTGGGATGACAGGTGCATCAGGAATTAAAATAAACATTTGTGGATTTCTGTATCGTTGAATTATTGCGATATTTTGTAATTTTCCTTGGCTTTTGTTTTTAATCCACTTACCTGTTGGGAATGTTTTTTGGAAGCAAGCAAAAAGGGAGACTCAGTTTAAAGAGGCTCTGTTAACCACATTGTATGACCTTACTGCTTTTAGAAATGATTCACTGTTTCCCTCTAGTGGCTGTTTACTGTTATTACATCTGAAATGGCCATATTAATTTACATTGCTCAAATACAGAAAGGTGTAGTTAGTGATTGATTTTGATGTTTTTATCCAGTGTATCCTTTAAAAAAATATATTTGCCATCAAATCTTAATGGTTGAGAGAGAAAAACTCTGTACAGGTGACAAGACCAACTGTTATGAAGCGACATGCCAACAACAACAAAAAATGTCTATGTTTATCTTTTGAGAGCTCAGATTTATGAAGGACATGAGGTGTCTTGAGGCGTCTTGAGGAAGTGCACACATGATGATCATGCTCGTTTCCCTGTTGACAGTCAGATTTTTCTTTAAATGTACACTATAGTTTCAAATCAAGTCCATCTCTTTATGTGCACTTGAGCTATAGCTGCAGGCAGATTCATATCCTATTTATTAAAAAAAAAAAAAAAGAAGAAAGCAAAAAAAAGCAGTACATGTTGAACGAGAACATTTTTGGAGGTTGCTGGTTCGGCAGATGCTAATTTGTAATTTAGTGTCCTCGAAGAAATGATGCATCTCACACATGCTGTGTGTGTCAGAGAGAGATGCACTCACATGCATGTGTCCAGTTGATTGCTGACTGATCCGGGTCTCCTGGGGAGCCGAGTAGGGTCCTTAGGTAAAGATATACAAGCCGCCAGCAGCTGTTGGAGTTAGAAACCGCTATAACCTCTATACTGCATGTTAATAACAAACACTTGAGTGCATGCATGATCACATGGAGAACCTCCTCTCCTTGGGGAACAGAGACTGGATTGCAGGAGATTGACCCACCTGCTCCTGGCTAGATTGGAATATTTCTGGACGAGGACAGTCTGCTAAACGTGTTTAAACGGTTTTTCATGTCTGCAATGCCAGAAAAGTAAGAAAACGTATTAAATATGACAGACCTCCCAAGGGGCTTGTTTCCTCAAACCAACCACTTGGGAGGGCTTCATTGTTGGTTTCTCAACCTTGCAGTAGATTGGCAGTTGCTCTGTGGCCCTGATGCTTTGAGGCTTCTTTGTTTAAAATCAATAAAAGTGAAAAGATTTTCCACATTTTATAGGCTAGAATTATTATGAGTTTGCAGTGAAAATAGTGGGCTGCATGTTGGTTTGAAAGTAGAGATGCACTGATCCACTTTTTTTCAGGTCCGATATTAATACTGATTCTGATGTTTTTTTTAATCATAAATAATAGTTTTATTGTTGTTGTTGGTATCATGTGTAAAGCTACACAAAACTGTAGAAAACCTGACATCGCATGTCTTATTCAAAGAGCAAATAAATAGCTAAATAAAAATGCTAACAAATTAAAACTATTCCAAAGAAATGTGTCTAAATTTTGTGCCGGCTTCACATACAAACAGGAAGCAGCAACAACTGTAAGGTTTCCAAAATAAATCTTTTAAACTGAAGAGTTTTTATCATTTAGAAGGAGCTGTTACATCTCGTCTGAATGTCTTGATGGAGACGATTTGTGAGCTCTTTTTGTGAGTTCAGTCTGAACGTCTTGAAAGGGAGACTGTGGAAATGAAAATGTTTAAAGTGCCCAAAGATCTTTTTTGTTAGGTGACGCAGCTCGGTGCTGTCAGTCCGATATCCGATACCTAAATTACGTCAATATCAGACCTGATACAGATAAGATCGGATCTCTCCCAACTCTTTTTAAAAGACTGTAAAACTCAAAATAAAGGCTGACCCAAAAATCAATGCCAAGCTTCTTTTAGCCAGGCGTGGCTGCACATTTGAAAAGTGTTCGTTTGCTTTCAAACTGTGGACACTCACCTGTTTTATCAGAAGTATACTCAATGACATTACATGTCAAAGTAGGATGACGACAGTGGCAAGTCTGTGTCGACATCTCAGTAGCATTCACAAGAAACAGAAAAAGTACAAGTATGTTCTTTATATGGATAGGAATGGTTTAAGGGAACAGTGGACCTTCTACAGTATTTCAAATCATGATGAATTAAAAAGTCACCCAAAGAAGAGTTGAAACAAACTGTGACTCATTTGATCAACAGCTTCGTTTGTTCCATTACCAGAATCTCCCAGCCAATGAAACGTTGGAGAGGTTCACACTGCTTTACTACCACAAGACAAGAATGTATTATATTTACTTCAAACACTTGTACTGAAACCTCTCATCCTAAAGTTTGCTGTCCGCCCCTCAGGTTGATGTATCCCTTAAAGAAAACACAAATGTCCTTCCCTCAGTCTCCAGCAGAGATACCACAAGATATCTTAAATCAACTAAAAACAAACCTCTCAATTTAACACTTTACATCACTTTTCTTGTATTTTAGCAAGAATACCTAAACCATTAAACTGTGTCTGTCAAGCTTTGGTGAAAAAGTTCATGAACAAATGTTGTTACACTCGTAATTTTTGAGGGATCTAACAGGAAAAATGCTGCCACCCATGCTGCCCCTCGGGGCATCCCTGTCCCTGCCAAAGCCGGACAAGATTTGTTCACTGCATACCGGTTACATAATGTTTCATTTTGCAATTCAAACTTTTCCGCTGCGCTTCAGTTATCTTGGCAATCCGAGTGGCATATCTTCTGACTTTGAGGATGAGTCATCAAGCTCAGAAACAGACAGTGAATTTTAACTTTTAGTGGATGATGTCCCGAACAAAGTGTGGTGTGCTCTGTGGTCCCAAATTAGAATAAATAATATGGCTTCAGGGGAAAAGAGAACAGGGGTCATTGTTGTCCAGCTGATCAAGCGATAAGCTCGACTGCCTCAAGGACTTCTGAGGAGAAGTCCATGCTGACAAAAACATTGTTCGCTATTCCCTCGATGTTGTCCTCCAAGCAGACACTGTCCTGCTTCATGAGGCTGCTTTCCGATGTGGGACTGATGACGATGATGCGTGGCACGCCGTGAGGCGACCTGGGATCAGCGGACAATATCCTCCCGACACTCAGCGAGTCGAAAGAGCTGCTCTTGTGGTGGCAGCTCCGCTTGTCGCCCATGCTGCATTTCTCCTCCCCTGCTTCTGACACGTCGTTGGTCAGACTCTGGCTGCGCCTCCTGGCAACAACTAGCAGGGGGACAGTGGCGATGGTGAGAGAGCTGGAAACCAGTTCATGCTCGCAGGTGCTCGATGGATCACACATGGTGGATGGATGCTGGTAATGTGAAGGAAAAAAATAACTAGACGTACAAACACAATTTTACACAAGAACATGGATGCATGCACCACAGGCAAATAAAACCAACATGCAAACACCTTCAAGCACATTTAGTAAAAAAAAACAACTTTAAAAAACATTGAGATGATTTCACAATTAAGCCCTTTTCCAACATGCACTCCTGAAAATATCTAGAAAATGTCAGGGTCTTCTGTGTGACTCTTTCACACATGTCCCTCACAGCGGGAGATTTGTGCTTTTAAAATGAGGGTGTGTCAGGAGGTAAGACATGACGTGAAAAGGATGCTGTGGAAGCCTGTAATGCTTGTAACAAATCAAAGATGGCGGACAAAGCAACAGAGTCAGGCACTATGATGATGTTTTTTTATTCTTATATCGGTGCTACGTGTAACTGGACATATTCAGAGTAAAAACGAATGAGTGGAAATGGACACCAGCGAGCAGAAAAGTGTGTGAAGCAGCTTGAATACTTGCACAAAGATCACACCAGGATGCAGGATATAAACATTATCAACCCCGCCCACTAGCTTCATATTGCGCTCTGTTCACACATCAGCTCACCCTGACTTTTTGGAGAATTTTATTCAGGGCTGGCAGAACAAACCTGCAGCATGAATCAAAAATCTTGTGTCAAGGCTACTCACCTTCTCGACTACTTTGGTCTTGTAGGTCTTGGAGGTCTTTGGCGATCGCCTCCTGGAGGACCTGCCTCGAACAGACTGATTGTACGACGACATGCTTCTGAAGGAATCACACGACTTTCTTCCCAGAGATTCCATCTCTACATCCCTTAATGTCTGCAGGATAAAACACAACTAAAGGGTTTAAAAATATATATTTTTGATTAAAAACTTGAATATGAAAAAGCTATCTTTAGTGTATGGCTCAGAAAGTTTCAAGAAATTATTTTTTTTCACATATTTTCAACAATATCGGTTAATCTTTTAAAGTTTCCATAATATTAAAACCTGTTCGATTGTGGGACAATACTCAGCATCTCGATTTGCATAAAGTAAAGATTGGTGACATTACCATCGCAGGTGAGCAGTTTGAGGAGCCGGTTTTAAAGAAAGTCCTGGATGATATGGACTGTCTGCTGATGATGGAGTCCCTGTAAGAGGACTCACTTATGGAGGAGGAGACGCAGTCCTTTCGAGGAGCAGGGGACAGGAACGACAGGCAGGGAAACTTGTCTGCCAGAGTCATCCTGATGATGCACACAACAAGAGGAAAACATTGAGTCAGTTTATGTAAGAACGTTAAATAAAAAACTACCAAAAAAAAATACTTAAAATACATTCAAGTTGTTACTTTTTTAAATAATGTTTCTTAAGGCTGCATGGGTTGTGTAATAAAATCACGCTATTCTATTCTTATTTACTTGTGTATGTTTTGTTTAATGTGAATGAAGTGCATTATGGGTAATGTGCAAGATATGTTGCATGTGGTTTTTCGTTGGTATGTGTTTCTGTGTTTACATGTAGATTGAGATTTGCTTCTATTGTTTTTTAAGTTTATGATTAATACTGTGAAGGCAGCTCAATGTGAGCAGCACTTAAGTTTAAGACAAATTTACATAAGAAGGCAGTAAAGTGTATCGCCTCATATCGTCTCGTATCATATCGTCTTGTCTTGTATGCTTTTGGCCTCTCTTGCTCGATGTCAGTAAGTGAAGCAGTAGCGCTTCTCAGTGTCCGTTTCAAAAAGAAAAAATGACATTGTTTTTAAAGTAGTTATACCTCAAAATGTAAATGCATTAGTCATATATATTAAAAACAATATAGGAAAGGACATATGTTACATTTTTACTTTCAAATAATTTAAATATAAGAACAATATTTATTCATGAATTTACTTTATTTTATTGAAAAACAAAGTGGAAAATTGTCAAAAAATCATGACAACTTCTTCTTGAGATGCACTGATGTTGAGTATCAGGATATGTATCGTGAGCTGAGTGAAACATCCCTTTTATACAAGAGTCATAAGAATACAGCAGCTGTGGTTGATGGTTTACCTGTATTTGTTGTGTATGATAGCGTAGATGAACGGGTTGTAGATAGTGGAGGCTTTTGCTATGATCGCAGGTACTGCTTTGGAGTACGGGGACAGGATGTTGGCATGCCTGCAAGAGTCAGAACAACAGAAACTCATCTTTACTTCAAGCATGACAGAACAACATGTCAAGTTCTGTCATCTTTTTATCTTTCATCCAAAATGAAGGGTGGCATCGGGTAAGGGATTAGCTCAAATGTGCCAGCTGCAACAGATGGGTTGTTAAGTCTATCTGACCGTGTGAGCTCGGCTCTGTGTGTGTGTGTGTGTGTGTGTGTGTGTGTGTGTGTGTGTGTGTGTGTGCGTGTGTGTGTGTGTGTCCACGTGTTACCTTTGCCCCATGAATGAGCCGGCTAAAAGATGTGATTTCTGAGTTACATAACCACATTCATTCCCACTGTAAACCCCTGGAGAAACATGTGGTTGAGTAAATGTTGTGATAGGTCGGATAAGCAGAGGAGATATGGACAACTTCACCGTCTGTTGTATGTCACTCAGCCAGAGGCCCAGTACCTCCAACAAACATTACATAATGAGACAGTGAACGTCGTTTTGGAGAGACATTTATCCAATTTGTCAGCACGCACATCAGAATGGAAGTCCCCTGAAACCATGGAAACGCTGTTATCATCAACAAATGTTATGAAATTATAGAACCCTTTTTAAAGAAAGAGGCTTTAGAAATAATAATAATAATAATAATGCATTAGACTTTTAAAGCACTTTTCTAAATACTCAAAGACGCTTAACCCTAGAACACTAACGTTGGGGGATTTTCACCCACTCGATCGTGGTCACTTGATTTTCATCGTGTTGCTGCTGTCTGAGTTGCGTTGGTTCTCGGGTAGCTTCAGGTTGACCCTTGACATTATTGAAGGTAGGCGTGTTTCCCTCCTCCAATCCCTGGTACCTGCTTTGAGTGATTTTCACCCAACGTTGGTGATAGTGAGTAAAATATTTCCCACACTTGCCAGTAATGCAGTGAGAGACTTAGCATCACATGTCCCAGGAACAAGTGAACCGAAAAACAAGTTCCCAGCACCATGATTTACATTTTTAGGAATTTTTCATTTACAGTACAATTCCCTAATTCTTCACTAATTTTAGAGACTTTTTAAAGGGTCTCCCCATGATACCTTTAAATCTGTGAATAATGAATACAATGCAGTGGAAAGCTTAATACTGTTTTGGCCAAATCATGGAGAGTGTACATTGAATTACATTAACCCTTTTCACACATACAGAAATCTCCTGAAAAACTCCGGAGATTTGGCTACCTGGAGGTTCTTTAGGCTATGTGTGAACGCAAACAGCCGCATTTTTCGCGTTGACTTTACCCAGAGTTTCTCCGGCCAGACCCCTAGTATTTTTTCCGTAGAAAGGCCGAGTGAGCTGATGTCTGAACGCGGCAGCATATACTCCGGAGTATATAAAGTCCCCTGCTGTGAGGTGCATATGTGAACGGCTAGGTCGGAAGAATCTTTGGAGCGGTCCTCCTGTAAATATCTAGATATTATCTGGAGTGCATATGTGAAAACAGCTATTAGCTGTCATAGTGTCTACACATCAGATCTTTGGAGGAGTTTTCACATGTAAATGTTACCGAGATACATGTTTAGTATTACACTACATTTTAAAGAAAATAAATCTCTAGAAGGACTGAAAAGAATTTCAGATGTGACAATGAGGGTGTGCTCTTATCACAGTGAGAAGCTATACGTGTACCATTTAATCTGGAATACAAGTCACACTGGTATATACAGTAAGACAAAATCTGTTTCTGGGGCCTCAGAGGGAAAAAGGTTTAAACTGTGTTTCTGCATGATAACTTGAATTACTTTCGGAAAAGTCCACAACATGCTTTTTCGGTGCAGATGTTGAGCTCTTTTGAGGAACATCTCTTTTGCCATGTGGAGTTTGTAATCCTGCTAGCAACCTGAACTTTAGCTCCCATGTTCTCTGTAAGAAAATTGTTAAAAGAAATGTACACAGAAACAACTTCAAAACTAAAGTTCTTCTTGGAAAAAGCCTTACCCGGACCAGGAAATCATTGTCACACAGGCATACGGCGACCAGGAGAGGACATAAACCACAATGACGACAAAGGCAATCTTTGCCAACTTCCACTCGCTCTTGATAGACTTCTGCTGGATCAGAGTGGATTTCCTCACCTGAGTTCCAAGTCGCTCCACTTCCCTGTAGGTGGTGAAGAAGGGATGGGGTGGTGAAAGATAAATCAAGACCCCCAGAAAAAAAAGTTCCAGGTTATTTGTGTGATTGAATAAGGCAAGTCATTAGCCCCTTTTACATATGCACCCCTGAAAATGTCAACAAAGTTTCAGGACTGCCTCTGACTTTTTGTTGCATTATATCAATGCTATGTGCAGTCAGACCTAGTCAGGGGCGTGTCCAGACTTTGTTATGGGGTGGCCCACCTGAGGCACTGACTTATGCTGGGGTGGCATGACATTTGATGGCACACGCACACAAATGAATTAATTTTTTTTTACCCTTTCTATAACAGCAAATGATCTAAACTTGTAAGAAACACAATTTGGTAATATATTAATCTTCTTCGCTTGATTCTTTAGGGACCCAGAATCAAAGATGTGCATCGTCACGATTTGGAGTACTTAGAAAATTACATGAAAACTCTTGTATGCTGTCTAACTTGCAAAAATAAATGTATCGGCAATTTAGTCTATTGCAGGTTAGACGGTGTGCACAAGTATTTTCCTTTTACGTTTTTATGGAAAAAAGGAAGTACTAATTTACAACTGAAAGTATTACCATTACCCTGCTGAAAACAGACAGAATAGTTGATCTGTACTTAAGTCCCGCCTCTGATTAAGCAAATAGCCAATCATAGATTTGAATTTTTTGGGTGGCACCTTGGTTGGTGAATCAGATTTCAAGGGGAGCGCATGCCACCCCTGGCCAACCTTCTGGACACGCCCCTGGGTGTAGTATCAACTTAAAAGTGGAAAAGAACAAAATAGCAGGTACGCCCAAATTCTCCTGAATATTACCTGCTGTGTTCACACATCGGTTCACCCCAAATTCTTTACTAGAGTGCTGGCAAAAAGTCTGAATAAAGTCAGTGTGAAAACTTTAGCTGTTTGCCTTCAAACATGAACCCTAAAATTTCAGTTATTTAAGTGTATATGAAAAAGGCTTTATAAAAGGTCAGCTATTTGTTTCCTTGGAGGTCTTTTACCTCAAACTATTTGCTTTTCTCTTGTCTTACAAGTTTTAGTTTTTAAAATCACAAGATACTTTCCCAAAGATTTCTGCCTCCAATGCCGTTCTGTAAACAATACATCTTTCACCACTGAAGCCCAACAGCCACACTTCAATGTAGAGTTACTATCTGTAATGCTGGTTATTCTTCATTTTTAGAATGTGATCAAAACTCTTTCATGTAAAAGAAATGTTCATATACTCTTTGACTGAAGAGTGAAGTACCTGCTTGTTTTGCGTATTGCCAGAAACATGAAAAGATAGCAGTAAAAGATGACTCCTAGTGGGATGAAGAAAACAAAGCAGCACAGCATCATGGTGTAGCTCCTATTGGCCAAGGTGTACGTGACATAATCCCATGTACATGATGTCATCAGGCCCTCTGGGATGTAGGAGCCTGAAAGGCAAAGGAAGATCAAAAACATGGAAAAGGGAATCAGACATCCAGGAAACATCAATGCTTGTGTATTCTGTTTGACATCCTGCTTTGATGTTATGTCCGGTAAGGTGTACAATGAGATCACAGGTGAACTCTGATGACTCGAGGTAAGTTATTTTGTACCAAACATTAATTTTCAACAGCCAGGAGTCAAAGTAGGTCATTTACCTGGTTTTGTTTTCTTTGTACAGAACTAATACGCATCAATTATGGCAAGTGAAAACCAAAAGCATGGCAGGTATCCTATGAAGCAGGATTATCTGTTTATCCATTTAAGATAATTAAGTTAAGTTATTAAGTTCAGTGTTAACTCTGGGTTTTAAGTACTACAAGGCTGGTTCACTTCCTACCAGGATAGATCACCATGGCAACTTGTGTTGAACACCCTACAGAACCTTCTCCACACGAGTTATGTCCTGGACAACACATTTTGTAAAAACTTAGCGCTTTCTGACCAATGAGGTGTCTTGATCGAGGAGCTGAGCTAATCATAAACGTTGAGAAAGAAGGAAAACTGGCAAACACTTTGTTGTTTCCCGTCTGATTTCTCTCATAAAATATATGATTAAAATAGATCCTATAACAGAGACTGATGAAAGCACTGTAGCCTAAAACTTGTTGTACTTATATGACATGATGATGAGCATATTGAGATCTTGAAATATTGCGGCTAAAACTTTCAATATGCAATAAGAAGTCATCTAAGCAATGAATTAATTTATGGGTAAAAAAAGGAGTTGTCAGATTTGTGTCATGCATCAATGCATCAATGATGAGAAACTTGAGATGAGAAACTTACTCCAGCCGACTAAAGGCGCCAGACTCCAAGCCAAAGAGTACAGCCAGACCAGGATGATGGCCAGCGTGGTTCTACGTTTGGAGCTCCAGTGCATGGCCCGCAGAGGCTTGGTTATGACCAGGTAGCGATCGATGGAGATGGCCAGCAGGTTTATCATGGAGGCGATGCCAAACAAGGCCCCGCAGAATGCATACATCTTACAGCCTACAGGAAAGAAACACACACAAACCTTTAAAATAACTCTATAGCTGCAGAATCATTTACAATAAATGTCCCTTTGCTTAAATGCATCATACATAAAAAAAACAAATGTACAACAAAAAAGAGAAATACCCATCTCTCCAAATGCCCATTCTTTGTAGAGACAGTTGATGAAGAAGATCGGGGACTGTGTGAACGCCATGAGGAAATCGCTGACCGCCAGGTTCATGATGAAGTAGTTCGGCAGATTACGGAGCTTCTTGTTACTATTCACACAAACAGGAGAGAAAATATAAGTTGTGGGGTCAGCGTGATCATAGAACACTTGTGTGTGGTTAGTTGTTGTCAGATGAATTGTCCATTAAGGCCAGGTGTACATGAAAACAATGCACTGTAAACAGTTAACAGAATCCTTTTTTGTATTAGTTTCCAAGAATGTTCTACGGTCAGACGCCGTTCTGTTGAAAACCATATAGTCTGTAGTGAACCATAATGACACAACATGCACACTTTTTTCTACAGAGGTGTACACATACAAAAATAGCCACCACACAAACTTTTGTGTGGATGGACAATGTGATGGGGTTGCTACTTCAAGTGACCAGTAAATTTCTAGAAAATGTCGGCTCATTACAGTCGACATTTCGATCTGCAGAGTCCCTCTGCACCTTTAAGAAAAAGCTAAAGACCCAGCTCTTTCATGAATACCTACTAACTTAATGATGATGGTCTCCATATTATTGATGATGATGATGGTAATGACGATGGTTTTTGTTTGATAATGATGACTTATAAGATGGTTTCTATACTGATTAGAGCTCTCAAGAACTGCCGTCAATGTTGTGCTTTGCCTCTGGTCACTTCCTGTCAGCACCTGTGCGTCCAATCAGACTCAAAGCTGATCGTTTGCTCTTACTGACATTGTTCCCTTTTTTCTAGATCCTTGCTTGTGTTGTACTTACTCTCTGATGTACGAATGTAACAGAACTCAGGAGTCCGCCATTTTAGTTGTAGTCCACCTACTACTGATGGCTATTGACTGGAACCGTTATGTGCATGTGTGAAATGCTTCGGTTTTCAGAGGAACTGCATATTGCCAGTTTACACAATGATGGAGATGGTTTTCAAAATGTTGCACTCTGGACACTGTTTTAAAAATGTTGGGTTTTCAGTCTCCAAAAACGCTGTTGTCATGTGTTTGCCAAAACAAAACAAAAGTTTAGTCATCAGCTGAAAAAGTTGTTGTGGGCCTAAGTTTAAATAATCACGGGATAGGTGAGGAATATGTTGGTAATGTGACATTTGGATACACATTTTAGATACGGGTGAAATTATTCAATAGACAATATTATTTGCAGTGACTTCATGCTCAGGATGGGAAGTTTGAGTACAGTAAAGCCTGTGAGAAAAAAGATGAAATGGACAAAAAAAAAAAACAGCTCTTTCCTCCCAACAAGTCGACAAATGTGCTAATGCCAATAATCCTAGGATTAAAGGCAGGATAAAGAAACAGGATTGAAGCTCACATCAAAGAAGTTGAAGCATTGAAGCAGTAATGAAAACAGTGGCATGTTAAATGAAGAATGTGCAATTTTTTTGATCCAATAGTTGTCGCCCCTGAGTACCAGCACTCGTTGATTTTTGCATTGATTACCTTTCTATTTGTAAGGCTGTATGAAACACCTGGTAATGTTTGTACATGCATTAGTTTTGTAATTCAACAAATACCTGTTCTGATAATCGTGATTTTTTATAAAGGAGAAGAAAAAGGGTCAAACTTCAGTTACACCTGTATCTCTATTTGAATGCATAACTCAATATATAAAGTGCTATTCAAATTTGAGCATTAATCAGATATAAGCTCTCAGCTGAACTGGTCAACTCTGAGTGAACCTGTTTTCAAAGCAGCGTGATTGAGCGGTGAGTTGACCCGCACCGTCTGCCCTCCACAGCTCTTCATTGATTGAACCCTGTTTCTGTGTGTCCTGAATTCCTGGTTGAACGCAAAACAATCAGGGTTTCTAATGCCTGTGAAGAAATAAAGAATGTGTTTGTGTGTTGTGACATCACTGCGTGTGTTTGTGTGTGTTTGTGTGACTGAATGTGTGGAGGCGTCTGCATGTTGCTGCAACATTTACTTTGTTCCCCAGAAAAATCATCATATCGGGTGTAATCTGCCTTCAAACATCATTATATCACTCTCCACCTCTGTGTGTGTGTGTGTGTGTGTGTGTGTGTGTGTGTGTGTGTGTGTGTGTGTGTGAATACATTTTCTTGGAACTCATAACATCATGCGCATGTCTGATTCAGTAAACACACATTATAAGCACAACACAATGGAGAGCCCATCTAATCTCTCGAGGATGATGGACAGATGGAAAATAAAAGCTCCTCATTGAATTCCCAGAATGCACGCACGCACACACACACACACACACACACACACACACACACACACACACACACACACACACACACACACATACACATCTGTCTCTGACCTACTTTCTGTGAAACAGTTACAACGGTTAAGGAGGTCAGTGATGGCACAAATTACAGAACACACACACACACACACACACACACACACACACACACACACACACACACACACACACACACACCTGTGTCTTACATTCTCAAAGTGTGTTAGTGTGTTATAGAAAAGTAATCTGTAAATGTGCAGAGATGTTCATTGTGAGGCTACCTGTTGCATGTCACTCTGAATGGACTGTTGATTTGTTACGACTTGTGGAAGCAGCTATCTGTTCCAGACACAACTTGTTGTTTTATCGTAAAGAAGCCAATAATAAGAAAAAATATTCTTATGATCAAAAATTGTGTGATTTTAAGGTGTTTTCTGTCCTTTTTTTGAATGGAGGTACATTTTTTGCCATGTTCTTTTCAGATCCTGCGTTTTGCCTTTTACCTGTAAAAAACAGGTTGGACAAAAACAAATTAACAAGTGAAGATTTTATTTTTCCATCAACCATTTTCCATTTTCCATTTTTCTAAGTTAACATTTTTGGTTGTAAAAAAAAAGTATGGAAGTATAAAAAAAAGATTCCTGTTTTTTCTGTTTGTTTGTTTCCCTTTTCCAACTTTGAAAACAGGTAACATCTTATTCTCAGGATAACGTGTTTGTTGTTTTAAAATGATCTGAGTTAATTCATCATGACATCCAGGTGTACACGAAACTCTATGCTCAACTGAATATTTAACAAGTCCATACACTTTTAACACTGGGTACATAACATAAAAAGAATATATTTTACAGCTGCTTTTTTGTCGATCGTCTAGAGACAATATTCCTTATGAATTGTAAAAGAGTAAAATAAAAATGTATTTCATGTTTGATAATGAGGTGCATACTGTTTTTATTATCTTCAAAGACTACTTTAGTGCTTATGTGCATTTGCGTGTTTCACCTTAGTAATCAAATATGTTGTATTTTTATGAGCTCTTGTAAGTTTAAATGTAATGCTTTGTCTACGCCGTCAGCCTTTCAGGGACTCAAGTATTTGTGTTCATGTGAAATAAGACGATCGCTGAGCAACTAAGACGACTGTAACGTTAAATTAATGTCATATCTAAAATATTGCACTTTGATTAATAAATTACATCTTTTTGACTCTTCAGATCTGTTTGGAGTTGATATAAATTCTCATTTAGTTTATATCTGTTGTGAAAAACACAATATAAGCAAAGCTAGTTGTTAATATGTTTACAGTGTATCATTGGAGTTATGTTGGACTGGTGAATGGTAAATGAGCTTGTGTAACACTTTTCTAGTCTTCTGACTACTCAAAGTGATTTTACACCGCAGGTCACACCTACACATTCACACACTGATGGTAGAGGCTGCTGTGTAAAATGACCATCAGAACCATCATTCATACACATTCACACGCCGCTGCAGCAGTGGGAGCAACTTGGGGTTAAATGTCTTTCCCAAGAACACGTCGGACATGTTGCTGCAGGAGCTGGGGATCGAACCCCTAACCTTCTGTTTGGGAGACGACTGACTCTATGTTGTGCTCACCATGCATGGCTTGGTAGCTCGTCCACTGTTTCTATATCATTCATTTACTAGTGGCGAGCAGTGCATAGGAGTCAGGATTGCTGTTGACTTTAACCTGCAGAGAAAATGGCGGGTCATAGTGAAAAAAAAGGCAAAGTCTAGCTTTACATGTTGTTTACCTGTTACACTCTCACTGGAGATAGGTGAGCCATAGCAGAGTGATCATTATGTTCCACATGCTTTCAACACTTTAGTCTAAAAAAACAACAACTCTATCATTCCCCACCACAAAACAAATCTCATCTTGAAAGATACCTGATGGTAAAGCTCTTCTGCCAGTAAAATTAATTAGCCCGGTAACAGACTGGTTAGCTTTCATAGCTCTTTGTGTTTGCCAACCCCGCTCTCCTCTCAAGCTCGGTCTCCTCGTACAAATATGTTTTTATTTTCTGGTTCCAGAAAAATCAACATGGCGGCAGTAGGTATGCCAAACTCAAGATGAAAATCATCAACAGATTTTTTTTTTTCCTCACTTGCCTCAAAGGGCTTCCATGTGTTTACACTGATAAGCATTTGATTTTTGATCCAATTGATTCTTGCTTTACTGATTACTTCAGAGGAATTTGTGTCGTCTTGGAAGCTATAGTAATGAATGTTGCCAAACTGTTTGTCATGGAAACTCAAGCTACAGGAATTCACAACCGCTGACATCCTCATGAACTGTCCCTCATATGCTAACTGCTCTCTGCTCCATGAAAAGGTCTGATTCACAGAACTATATTGTATTGTGTGTAAACATGACAATAATGTTCTACTCAATGCAGTTTGCTCTTGTTTTGTTTCTGATCATGGACATGAACTGTCTGAACCTCTGGGCTCTCACCCTCTGGGACAGGACTCCTTACTGTCCACATAGATAATGAGGGAGGGGACACCTTTATTCCAGACTAAAGTGAAGTCCAGACTCGACCAATGTAATAGATATTTATCATTCCTTTTGACTTATATGCACAGGTCTATGAGGTACAAAAGCAGAGCAATCCCTATGTAGAGTCGACCTTTAGATTGATAGATAGACTTTATTGTCTGTCCCAACAGAGATAGAATTTCTCCTTAGAGCTTTAAATGGGCACCTGAAAAGCACATGATTCCCTTGATTGGGTCTTAGTAATGAACTGACAACTTTTGCTGTAAACTGACAATTGTTACGCCCGACCATAAGGCGGCCCTGCGGGGCAAACAACAACCCACAGTTTGACCCAGTAAAGCTCATAAAACACCTTCACAAAGTCAAGCCGAAGGGATTTTTAATGAGACACAAAATAACTAAATCAACAAAGACACAATCCCTGACTGAGCGACATCACACACGCAGCAGTCCAAACACCAAAAGCATGTCTCCTCTTGAACGCAGCGCTGGGCTTTTAAACACTGAGGCCAGGTGTGTTTGACAGATCTGAAGACAACACAAAGGGAAGAAGAGACAAACAACAGGGAAACATACAGCTGTAACAACCATACGCTTGTAATGGGTCATTTTACGTTTTGCTCCAAACATGCTGAAAAGGTTCATTATTTGAAATTAAGCTTAATATTTTATTTGACATCGTTACTCAGGGAAACATGACAGATTTGCTGACATCATTTTTAGTGCTGTGCATCTTCACTGGTCTCATTATTCAATTACCCTGTCAACAATTCGATATTACGATGCATCGCGATGGGTTGCATCCTCAATTTTCTATATTAGGCTACATCACATAGGCTACTTTTTCAACAATGAAGACAAACACTCAGAATATGGACTCGTTTTTTATCATACAGAAAGTTATTTAGAAGTCAATGTCAACGTAAATGTCTTCACATTGTTGCCCAAAAAACAGTTCCAGCTGTTGCCGAAAAATCTGCAAACAATGTCAGCATGCAATAATCGATTATCTTCTGTCGGTGCATCGGTGTAGAATCGTCCACGTCTGCATCGCGATGCATCAAAGAAAAAATTAATTTCAACACCATTTATCATTTTCAGGAGACTGAGTGAGATGCAGTTCATCATCAGCTTTACGCAAAACATTTGGAGAGTTATCAAAATAAAACCTGACAAGAATTCTGCGAGTAACAATGTTTGATGTTTGAGTTTAACTTTGGCCACCTCAATCAGAAATATAAAGAGATTTCTAATAGAAACCAAAGCCACAAAAAAAAGTCACACCTGCACACCTGTATGATGTTTACAGTATTTTAATGTGTTTTTATATGATGTACACACACCGTGGTCTTCCTCTCAGTCTCTCCATTTGCCTTTGATTGGACACTGCAGGGTGATCTCTTTAGGCTCTGATTAAAAGATGTATCAGGCTTCAAAATGAATACTTGGATAAAATCCAGTGAAAAGGACAAACACAATAACAAACCCACCTGTAGAAGGCGAACATAACCAGTGCGTTGCCAGTGATGCCCAGCACCCCGATGACGAAGACGAACAGGGCGACGATGTAGTGAACATGGTCCGGCACGTCCACCTTGGTGAAGAAGCTGCTCTGGGTGTGTGCTGTCTCGGGCTCCATGCTCTCAGTGGACCACATGGTTCGAGTGCCTCATCCGGACTGACAACCTGGCAGGACGCAGTGGGTGTACCTGTTTGTAATCCACTCTGTTTTGCAAGTGTTGGGCTTTCATCGTAATTTCATTTGCACCACAGATGCACAGGAGATGTGCAGGATCTTCTTTGGAAAGGGAAAATCAGAAATCATCCATTCAGTTCTATGTCCCAGATGTTGGAGAACTTCTCTTCTCGCAATCTTCTCTCAAGATTTCAAAACATCAAAATTAACACATTTTGAATCCTTGTGTTACTTCTTAAGAGAAAGCGAGAAGAATCAAAAAGATGATCAGTACAAAACAAATAAATCTTTAAAAAAATAGAAAGAAGAGTCCCTTTTACTTCTTCATCCAGTGGTGTTTCATTCCAGATGTAGTCCACAGCTGTTCACACATTTTGTTCACATGAGAAAGAACTTCTAGCAACATTCATTCAACAAGTTCCACCTGTAGCCTCCAAGTCTTTCCTCCGTGTATTCAGTTGTCCGGTAAATTAAATCCCACAGTTGGTGAATATTTTCACTCTCGGTTTTCTGTCCACTCAGCGTAAGCCTGCAGCCTCTTCAGCCGTCACACCAGCTGTGCACCAAGCTCTGATTCAGTGGCCTGTCTCTGATTATCTTGCCAACTACTGACTCCTGACATCATCTCATCGCTCTCTCTCTCTCTCTATGTCTCCCTCAACCTTGCCCCCCTTACCATATTCCCTCCCTCTCTCCTCATACACTCTGCCTTCCTTGCCCCACTCTCTCTCTCTCTCTCTCTCTCTCTCTCTCTCTCTCTCTCTCTCTGCACTTCATGTAATATCGCCCAGCCCTGAGCTCTAACCCTTAAACTACGGGATTCTTACATAACAGACTTGATGTTCACTAACACCAGCAGTATATCGGGCTCAGTAAGCCGAACATGTTCATAATGATGACTATGTCTGCGAAAAGCTCTCGCATGTTTGCGAGCACTGATGCATGTTGCACACAAGGACGACACGCACGGATTCATTAAGATCATTCATGGAGAAAGGAAGTAATTGGTCTTACCACTCCCAACTTACACAGCCGATTTATCACAGCTCACACCATGATGCACACGCTTCAACATAACATACTTTCCCTTTTAGCTTAAGTAACAGGTTTATGAAACCGTGAGAGCTAGCTGTAAGAAAACCTCTGTTTCCTCTAGTTCAAGAGCACTAAAAAGAGTTATCTCCAAAGTCAAATGAGCAGTTAGGGTATTCATCGCTCAATTAACCACAACAGAGTCAAGGTGGCGGTCAAAGCTCCTCAGCCTTGGAAGAGTCTCCTTGTTATCAGCAGACACTGATTCTGCTTTAAAATCTTGTCTTAAGAGACATTTTTACAGATTCAGCACTTATCTGACAGCTAATTGTATTAGACTTCTAGAGTGCCTTTAGCTGTATGCTTGCATGTTGTGTTTTTTGTGTGTTTTTACTGTATTGGGATTGTCTCTTCTGACTTGTCTCTGAAAATGACTTTGTATTCCTGTCTTGAAATGTGCCACATAACTAAAGTATCATTATTACAACTGTCATAACAGTAAATGGAAAACAATGGAATCGTGACATTAAGATAAATGTGCACATGTTTTTTCAGAGTGTAAAGAATTTAATTTGAAGGCAAAACAATTGACAAACAACTGAGATCTACAAAGCCATCATCTGACAGTATTTAAGGGCGTTTTCACATTAAGCACGATTATTTTGTACCGTACCCAAGCTCCATTGCTCCCCCTTCCCCCGCTGGCCTGCGTTCTCATTGGTAACACCGCTCAGTGCCAGTGTAAACTTGTATGTATGTACACAGTCAGATACAGCAGGTGGCAGTTTGCACAGAGTTGGTTTGCAAATCCGCCAAGAAGCCACCATGGCAACCACTCACAGACTGAGTCCGTCCTAACAACTGGTGGATGATTTCATTATTTCTGAGACGCCAACAACGACTCTCTTCCTACTTCCACATGTATCGTGCAGCTCAGAGAGTGAAACAGGCGATGCCGATTTTTGAAGGGTCAGGAGCCGTTTAGAATTCATATAGCGGTCTAATCCCTTGATTGGGCACAGATGCCTTCACAACTCCCGCCGACCGTACTCGAGTACATCTTCAAGCGGACTCAGGTACGTTACACCCTGAGTACAGTATGAGTATGGCGCGTTCACAATGATCAAATTTAGGGTCAAGCGTACTGGGATCTGGGTCTGGCTCTCGAGCGTGAAACCATCCTAAGGCATCACTTGGTTGAATTATGTAACAAGTTTGCATCGTGTTCACTATGAGAAGATTTTAATTGATAGAAATGGACATTTGGATATAGGTTCCACATTGGAGAGCAAACAGGGACAAGTTTAATCAGTCATTGCTTTTTATGGTGCTGGATGTGTTGGTGTGAAGAGATGAAGGGAAAGAGAGGGAGGTGAAGAATGCAGAGCTTACACAGAGATGTCAACTAAGCCCCTACAGCAAAGGGATAGCCTTAATCTGCACACTGTGCATGCATGTGGATCACTGTTTGATCTGCCTGGAATGAGACTTTATATGAAAATCTACATGTCCGTAGGTCATACAGTACATATGTGTGTGTGTGTGTGTGTGTGTGTGTGTGTGTGTGTGGGGAGGGGGGGGTTGCTTGGATGTCATGTGGCTTTGTGTATGTTTATTTATTCACTACATTAATAAAGCAGACAGTGCAGATGTTTGAAAGGATTAGAGTTCTGACAGTATTGCTGACCTAATCACGGCTGTGTTTTTGTTCGTGCTGTGGGTCAGCAGAACAAGGAAATATGTAACGTGACATCTGTTGCTATATCAGCCATTTTTATTTTGTACAAGATTCTCAATTTCTAACTCTAGAAATCGGCAAACATCATAAAAAGACACCAAATTACCTATTACATAGAAATGTAGAATCTGTACAGCGGGGTCTGCAGTTTCAGCATAAAATGTTTTCTGGTTTCCATTTCTAGTACATTTTTACTCTGAGCTGTATTGACCAATTACAAATCAGCAAGATTTGGTGTACAAAGGAGAAACAGTCTGTGTGGACAGTAAAAAACAGAACGTTATTCTCGCAAATACGTACTCTTCCATCTGTTGCACGACGATGATTTATCTGTCGCTATAAACAGATATTTAAATTAAAGTGCAACTTAAAATCCATTATAGATCCAATATTTCAATTTATGTGACAAATCTATCAGCGTTTAGAATTCCTGACTACCTGAAATGCACCAGAAACGATCCATCTGACCTCCATTCAACAAACAAAAATTGTGATTATTATTGAGGCATGTTCCAGAAGATCTTTAGACCTGACTCTCAGATAAAAGCTTGACCAATGAGGGTTGATTAAACTTAAGTTTTATCTAATTTGATATTGTTGTGCTTTTTAAAATGGAAAGCATCCTAAACGAGCAAGGTCACCTGCTTGTTTTGTGTTTCCAGAATAAATTGTGGTACACATATATTGCTTAAAGGGATGGATGGGTTTTTCCATACTATGATATTGTCTGCTAGTCTGTCAGGTTTTAAGGCAGTGTGTCTGATCTACAAACTGCGGATCTGTAGCGTCCCCCTGGTTTCATTCAGAACTATCTTCATGAATGACCTTGTCTTGATGGAAAAAATAAATCAGTGTTGTGGTATTCATGGACCATGGCCATGACAAAGGAGGTCAGTATTCCACTTGTCAATGAGTCAGTTACCATTGAACTGGCTGGTAGCACTGGTGTTTAAGTCTACATCTTGAATCCCCCCTGTTTAAAGATATATTGGACTTTTGGGCCCACAGTGGAAAGAGACTAATTACTATTGAGTGGTGCTGGCACCATGACCAGGGCAGCACTTTCTGGCGCACGAGCCAGCTGAAGATCAATACTTTATGACATAGGAAGAAAGAAGTTATCCCAACGAGCTCTCAAAGGATGATTGTGGAGGTCTGTTCAGTTGAAGTGGCAAGCGCACTTTTTAATCTCAGTTAGGGTATTTACGAAAAACAAAGGCTTCAAAAGTGAGCCAATCCCCTTAACATCCCACCCCCCAAAAAAGGTTCATAGCCTGTTACAAAAACAGTATTTTAACATGCTAATGTATCTTTCCACATTTATATTCCAGTAAGGCTTAACATATATCAAAAATATCAAATACACCAAGACTTAGTATAATATATGACAAATTAAAGGCTTTGCCAGGTTGAGTTATAGCTACAAGCTCTGTGATTGGTGTCACTTCAGCGTATTGAGTCAACTCACCATCTCGGTCGTATTTGTGGTGTTGGTGTCTTTTGGGATAATTTACATGCAACATTTTGGCAAGAAAATTTAGTTTTCTGTGCAGATAATGTCTTCCAGTGTCTGCTACCAATTTGGCTGTAAGTTCAGTTTTCTCAAAATGTAACATATTTGAGATAGCCAGCAAAGGAGAGTTGGAAGTATTGTTGTCCTTTCCTGCAGAGAACAACACCACCTTTTTATTCACTATCCAGCTGTCTTGTGAACACAGTTTTAAAAAAAGACCATGATAAGTACATACTACAAAATAGAAGAACTGGTTTGACTGTAATGGATTGTGTCGCAATAATTACCCAAGTTTAAAAAGTCCTGTATACGTTGTTACGCAGATGACACTGTTGTTTTCAGATGGAAAACAGAAGCGGTTTCTTAGAGCAAGCTGACGTTTTGGATTTTATCTTCATTATAAGTTTATTTCTATCATTCTGTTGTCTGCTCTCTCTCTGCCTCTGTGATTTATTTCAAGGAAATGGTGTCATTTTAAATATCACTTGTTAACCTGAAGAAGCCTTCTTAGAAGCGATGTGAGGTGTGTAACCCTAAACAAGTTGTAATTCAAAGCGATACATTTACTCTTAGACAGTAGACCTTTTGTCCATGCTCTTGTGGTTTCAAGTGAAGGTGTGTGGAGCTGCAGCAGCAGGGGGGAAATGGAAGTCAAACAGGATATGTTGGATATGGTAAAGAGCTTTAAATCTCATGTCTTAAGCCTCTTTAGTGTTTGCCTGGGTTATTGTTAAGCAACATGTTGGGAATCTAGGTTATACGTTGATCAAACCATGAGGGAAAAACAGGTCACTCTTCGATAAGTGGAATGAATTTGAGTCAATAACAAAGCACCACAGCACTCTCTCACACCTCTTTCTATCAATTAAATTTCACTCTTCACCTCTCTCTTTCTATCGCTCCCATAATTAAAGGAAGACAATCAATTTGATGCATTCATTTAAGAGAAGTGAGAGATTAACTTAATTATCAAGTAAGATTCAAATAGTTTGACAGAATACTTCCACAAAAGAGAATCAATATGAAATGTCATAAGTGGCAGAAGTACTAAACATTTATTATTGTAGTTTTTAAGCCTTTTACTTTTAAAGCTTTTTAAGGATTTGCACTTAATGATTTTGATGGCTGCTCTGTTAGTTAAAGTTGCCACAGTTTTAGCAATTTGTCCATATATAAAGAATGCAATTCTACTATTCACTTAGCAGACACTTTTATCCAAAGCAACGATCATCCTGTGTCTTTGATATGAAGTCATACAACAGTTTTTGTGATTTTTTTTTAACCAGAATAAGTCAGAGACCAACAGATTGCAGGAATATTTATTTCCACACTAGCGCCTGAAACATCAGTAAACATGCAATGAGAACAAGTAGAGGTTTCTCTTCAGCCATCCCTGCACTCGCTCCTGTGGTGGCCAGATTGACTTCTTCTGGTTTCCCTAAGAGAAAAACATATATATGGTATAATCATCAAATAAGATTGTCTTGTATGTATTTTTTCAAAGTAGCATTTTAAGAAATTGTATGACATTACAGAACATAAAGAAGAAACTGAAACACAGGAGGAACATAAAAAAATAAAACAAAGGATAACTAAACCAACCACTACTTAATGTCAGATACATTTAGGTATTTCATTTATAGGTATCCTGCTGAACATACCTCTGGTCAGAGTCATGGACCTCACACCAACCCAGTAGACCGCTCGCTGCTGAGCTACAGTGGCCCTAAAAAGGATGGAACAGCCATGAATATAAACTTTAAGCCTGATTTGCCTGATTTATACTTCTACTTTGAATCTACCCTGTAGGTTCACACAGCACTCTACCTATACAATATCCTATGTATGCAGCCGGATGTCCACCTCCTCAGAAATGTAACTGTTAGCCCTGTGATTGGTCTGCTGGGTAGCATCATGTTGGCTTTCATATTATGTGTACTCTATTGTAAAATTAATGGCTGCATCACATCTACCTAGCGACATCCAAAAATATCAGCAGTGCATTTCCTCATTCGGAAAAGCGCAATAAATTCCCCGGCCGTTTGATTCATCTGATTCGGCTGGAATACTTTAATTTAGCCCGATCCACCTTTTTTTTCTGTAATGCAATAATTGCGGTATGATCAACTGCTGGTCATTATTTATTAGCGCTAACTCCACCATAATACGTTCTGTTTCAGTCGATATGGTTTCCTTTCCTTCTGCACAGATTGTTGTGGAACCGGAAACTGGAGATATAAGAAGCATAAAATCACACTGCCAGCTAGGGTTTGTAAGCAGAGTATGGCAGAGATACACCGACACATTAATGTCCAAGTATGTAGTTCTCATGGCGGCATAGGCCATTATTGTGTAGCTATTGCGTAGATTTGGTTCAGAAGTATAAATCAGGCTACATTAGCGTTAGGGTCCAAATGCAGCTTCAAGTGTGTATATTTTTGTTAGTGGTGGTAAAATAAAGTAAAAGTAATTTGATTTACATGAAGTAGACGGGGCTTGCAGAGTCGGGTGGTATCCAGCTGTACACAGTGGTGTTGCCCTTCAGGTTGGTGTTGGAGTGAGTGACAGCACCCTGTGGATTCCCTGTGCACTGCAGACATAAAGACACCCACACTCTTTAGAAACTACTGAAAAATTTAAATGTTCACATTAAAAAGCCCATTGTGATACGCAGGTTAAAAAAACACAAGAATTCAGCAGTCAAATGTTTGAAACATGTCATGTTGTGGTGTCCATTATGCACAACAAGTACCTTCTTTGCAATGCCTCTATTGTCAAAAAAACTCAGAAGGAAAACCCCTGAGACTCACCTGAAGAAACTTTGTGTCCGGTGGAGGCAGCTGCCAGCTTCCCAAAGCATTTGTGTTGCCGAATGTCCGAGCCTCGAGAAGCACACCTCTGTAATCTGGTCCCCTCACTGTCACTGCAAGGAAACACATGAAAACAGCAGCTACTTTATAATTATCTCAATGTACCAGTGATGGTGACAGTTTTAAGACTTATTAAGGCTTATTTATGCTCTACGCCCAATATGCACCCAGTTACAGACTGAGCCTTCTGCCTGTGCTCTGCGTTCATATCATCCATATTTCTGCATGTTTTCTGGAACCTTATTGACTGCCAAGATAGCTGCCCATATCTGGAATATTAAAGCCCCGTCTTATCTTTAAAGTGTGACAGAATTAGTTTCAGTCTCTTTATGGAATGTCTTCTTTTGAATAAATCTTTTGTGTCAGCTTACTCATTTCAATACTTTGTAATTCTGTAAGTTCACACAGAGAATATCTCACCTGTAACGGGCTGTCCTGGCTGAAATGTCCATGTGTTGGTGACAATGGTGTATGGTAGAGGAAAAGGCTGAGGCTGCACGCCGGAGTGTCGAGGCATCATATCCTCACAGGCACCGGTGGGCGCACCGGAGGGATAACCACGAACATGACAGAGAACCTTAAGAATAATAAAAAAAGGCAACAACAGATCCATCGGGCTGAACAAAGAGCTGCCACGGTGCAAGAGAAAATATCAAACTGAGGGTTGTGGTGAGGAGGAAATCTACAGCGTGAGCTCAGAGCAGACTTAAAAACAAACTTCTGTTGCTGAGTCACACGACCAAAAAAATTTAATTGTCTCCGGTTTGATCACTGTGTGTTCATGTGCAGCAGCACATGATTGATTCATTTGGTGATATGTATGCATTTCAGAGCAGAACAAAGAGTGATTTCCCGCCATCGTCTGCGCCAATCAAAGTTTAGAGACACTTTCAAGGATAATCACATGGTCGACACTATAACAGTGCACCACTTTATTCAAGCTTTCTCTGAAGTTACTTTTTGTGCGATCAAAACACTTTCCCAAAAATAAAAAGTCACTTAGTCGATAAAATGCAAATTAAAATTTTTGACAGCAATTTTGACCAGTTGAGAACAATTTGACTTGACAATCTATTTAAGAGCTGCTGTCAGATGAAACACAATGAGGAAACTTTGTACCAAATAAAATGTTGACTGATCAGCAACTACAATTATTGATTTGACTTTTTTAGAATTTTCCATGATGACTAATTTACTGTCTACTAGTTCTTACATAGCTGGCTATTTACTTGATATTTTCTCATCTTGTAATTTAAGATAGATGATGCCCACTCCCTCACAGCATGGTGAGTCAGAGTCCAGAGGTAAGAAATGGGACCCTGATCACCAGTAAACTTTGCCTTGACAGCCTTGGATTGGGATTTTGTGCATGTCAGCAGGTTTTTACCATCAGGCAGTGCTTTGCATTCACAGACTCAGTGCAAAAAACAGAACAGTATTAGATCATTCTGTGATACTACAACACAGCACTGATCTAATACTGTTCTGTTTTTTGCACTGAGTCTGTGAATGCAAAGCACTGCCTGATGGTAAAAACCTGCTAAAAACCTGGTTTGATTCCCTGGCAGGACAGGGACCTTACGTGGAGTTTGCATGTTCTCGTAGTTCCTGTGCGAGTTCCCTCTGAGTAAAACCCCATGCAACCATGAACAGAATAAAGAATGAATACTGTAGACGCTACCTTCACAGTAGTCTCTGTACAGCGACACACGCCTTAACTATGGTACTCCACAGAAACATGGATCTGCCTATGAATATGAGCTCGAGTTTTACGACACTGTGGCATGAGTCAGCCTTTTGAGGTCTGCTCATTCATGATCCAAGCACAAATCTAAGGAGGAGGAGGAAATCTAAATTCATTGACATGTAATCTTTGTGCTTAAAGGATTAGTGTGAGTCGCAACAAGACATGATTGTGTCCTTTAAACTTGTAATCTTTTGTCTCTAAAAATAAATGGTTGTTAAAATAACCGGAATAACAGGAGACCAACATTAAAGGGAGGGGAAAAAAGAATATCTGTTTGAGAAGATTTGAATGTTAATCTGTATGGATAAATATAAAAAAACACTTATATCACAGATCAGACTTTAGGGGAGTTTCATCCATCCATCCAGTGATTTTTTTTTTCCCGCTCTAGTGACTGCAGAAAAGATGTATTATTTATTTTACAAGAGGGAGAACAACTGGTGTGATCATAGACTGTATGGGACCTAAACACGAAAGAGGAAGATGAAGATGATGCTTTTGGTGCAGACGGATCCAGACACTGTGAAATGACATGGTCTCTTTCATCCACCCTGCTTTAACATTTCTCCGGGCCACTTATTGTTCTCTTGCATCATTCATTAACAGTTATCTATTCATTTTAGCCATTAAGGCTTTTATTTGAAACTGGAATAGTGATATATTAATGCGAGGTTGAGTGATAATGCGTGGTTTTCTGAATCATTGATGGGGCTCACGCTAACTAATTCATTTCCCTTGCATTGTCACACTGGTTGTGGAACAGAGTGTTCTGTTTTCTATATAAAGCCATATCTTTGAGTCTCTAATGAAAAGGTCAGGAAATCTTTATGCAGCTAGACAAAGCCTGTTTTTTTTTTCACTAACAAGACTGGGAAATTTTCAAGACAATTTAGTCTTGAATTCATTTGAGGTGGGGATGTAAAGAAGCCTCGTAACACAGTTAAAAATGGATACAAATATGGACAATTTAAATCGATTTGACAAAAATACACATTGCAATACTTTTGGCGTCACTGGTCTGTTGCCAGTAGCTGAAGAAGAGAGGTGAACAAAGATGGTGGAAGCAAGGGGATAATTTTTTAGGTTTTAAATAAGTCTTGTTTCAAAGCGGAAGTTTGAACATGAGGTAAGCAGACGTGGACAAGATAAGAAACAGTTTGAGAATATTTCAAGAGACTGATGAACAACACAACCGTTATGATGCAACATGAAAACGGAGCAACTCTGCAAAGCTCAAGACACCAATGCTGAGGAAATTGGTAGATACTTGAGTTCACACAAGACAGGTTCAGGAGACTAAGAAGGACTTGAGTTGAAGTTGTTTATACATGACCTCCTCCTCAGGAGAAATGACATTAACAGCACACATGTAACACAGCGTCCTGCTAAGCCAGCTCTGTCAGGCCGTCGCATAGGCTCGGTATTTATCCTAAGGATGATGCTAAAGCTAGAGGTAGGGAGGGGGCAGCGATATACTGCAGTCCATCCTCCCAGACCCGCCGACTGACAACATCCTCTTCCATCATAATCATTAGCTCAACATACATTCATCTGTCTCATCATTCATATGATCTATCATTGAATATCTGAAGCACATATTGTCCTTGCTAGTGACTTCCCATATGTGAGTACAAAGAAAAACGTCCGATTTTGGAAAGAAAACAACTCTGCCTGCTTCCTGTCATAGTCCTGCTCAGTCACAGGTTAAGATTTTTCTATCCTGATAAGAGATTAGTCGACATCAAGTAATAAAGGTTCATCACACAGCAGTAAAGTCGACTAGTTGACAAGTCTGTGCAACCCCTATAGTAAACCCAGTTTCATGACACATAAGATATCTTTATTGTCACTGTACAAGTACAACGAAATATTGTTGGAGCAAGCCTGTAGATGCCTAATATCAGAAATATATAAATATTAAACCAAATATTCAAATAAGAAATACAATTAAATAATATGATATAGTATACAATACACAATTAATTTGCAGGTTATAGAATAAATATATTGCACTTAGTTATGCAGGACTCCAGTGGGTATGACACATTTCATTCCTGTGATGAGTTTATAGTTACATCCCTAGTTTGAGATGGATCTAAAATCACGTCGTTGAATAATACTGTGTTTGGTGGACAGCAGTTCATCTTTACCTCCTGCATTTCTACACCTATCATTTTCTCAGAAGTTTGCCAAATCAGTGCAAACAATTGAACATACATCTCTGTCTGACAGGCATAAATAATCCCCCCCACCCTCCTCCCATAAAAAACAGTATTATCTGTTAGAGCGATGAACATGAGGAATACAAGCCCAACAGAACATCACCTTGTTTGGTAACACAGTTACAACAGCTTATATGAGCAAGGATTGAAAAAACACGCACAGACACAGGTCAAACAACTGTTCCTGTAATTTCCTTCCATCTCTACCATTTACAGGTCGATGCTGTGAGAGGCGGCAGAATAACTCTACACAGAGACATGAGAGCAGGTAGAAAGAGATTTACATTTCTGCACTGTGTCTGTATGCAAAACATGTTTCTGCTTTCTGTTTCCAGTTCTGTACAACATGTCTCAGCACAGCAGTAACGAAGCCTTCACAGGTTTACCTCATTGACAGTATATTCATATGGACGTCTCCATCTCCTTCTGTTGGACAAAACTGAAGCCGGATTAGCCCCACAATTGGATGTAATTTGGAGCCAAGGCATGCTCGTAAGGGATCAGCTGCTGGAGCTGCTTTATTTATGTCCCGCCCCTCAACAAACGGAAACATGCATTCACACTTACTGATAAAACTGCAGATATCCCTCAGGTCGGTACGGTCCGCAGCAGAACAGATTCCTGTGTCTATTTGAAGTATAACCATTCAGTTATGTAAACTTCAATGACTCTTGTATAATGCATGTAACCATTTCCTCTCTCTGTTTCTCCTCTACTCTGCTAATTTGGTAAATTAGTCATCAGAGCTGTCTATCATGACGTTACATCCGTGAAGTTCAAATCGAATAACTAATTAAACGTCTGTTTAACCAACTAGTCTAAAAGTATTAAAACGCTCAAAAAAACAGTCAAAATTGATCACAATTCATTTAAAATTGTCTGCGGGTAAACTATGTGATTTGGTTTGCCGAGTGAGGCTAACGTTAGCTAGCAGTGCTAGCCCGACCAACCTTCGGTCTTCCCTGCAACTTAACATCCCAGTGTCTGTGCTGAATGGGATTAGGCACTGCACAGGTTGATATGCCAGTTTAACCTGACACAGCCTACAGTTGTCTCTGTTTTTTAGATCAAAATGCTGCCAAACCTGCTACTCCTACGACATGCTATTAGTTCACTAGCTGTGTTTGTTTATCCATCAAAGTAAACATCAAAGTAAAAATCTCAGCTAGTGCTCACTGGGAAGTGTCTAAGTGGCTGATTGTAACACAAAGTGTTCTCAGGGTAGGCCCTTCACATCTTTACGCGTGGGGAACTGAGAGGATTCATTACAAAGGAGCTCCCTTGAAAGCTCCTTTTGAAGACAGAGTAGAAAAAAAAACCTCTCAAATGGTGTCCTTTAAGGTGGCTGAATGAGCAAGAAGGTGCCCCTGAGGGAGCCCTTTAAATGGAGAAAATGCAGTGCAGTGACATTTATGCTTCCCTGAATGCTCAACAATTGGTCATCCTCACATGCAAATAAGAAAAAAATAGATCCATGTCTGTTTTTTATTTATCATGGGTTAGGGTCACATCAGTATTCTATCTTACTCTCCACCAGGGTTTTACATCTTTTAATGCATCATGACTTCCTGTGTGTTGGTCCCCCTCTGCATGTTATAGGTGTCCTTTTATAAAGTCTAGACCTCTTCTCTCTCAGACAGTCAG